TTTCTAATTGTCTCTTAGGCAACGAATTCTATTGGTCATAACACTAATGCACACTATTTTCTGTTTGTCAAGAACACTACTATTAAGTGGATATTGAAGAGTTAAGTAAATGATTTTACTGTATTGAAAATTTTATTGATTAGAAAAACTTTGTTTACTGTATGAAAAGCTGCTTATTTACATAATAATATATACATATATGCATATATGTAGATGATTATTTAAATGATGAAATGCAATTTTGTAGACGTTGTTATCCAGATAGTAAAAGTTATCAGATAGATATTTTATTGATGGATAGTAGCTAGCGTTGAAACCCCAGAACGCACGTTTCATACTGTTTGGGACTCATCAGCTGGACATACCTGCCTTCCAGTGAGTGATGTTGTTACCACTAGGACTCGAACTCCGGATAGATCATACCGTAAAAATGGCGTGAGAATGCCAAGCTAAAAATGTTCAGGTCAATAGTAAGGTTTCATGCAAAACTGGACACTCGCTTAAGTAACTAGTCCACTAGTTACTAGCCGGTCCTAAGCCCGGGTAAAGAAGGAAGGTTAGGCATAGGGCTAGCAACCCTACCCGGTAAAACCTAATCTAACCGCTAAAGAAACTTCAAAGCACAAAGTAAATATTTAAAAAAATTAAACTTATTCCTCTGGAATCGGAGAGATAGAATGACGCCGGTCGGTGAAAGTCTTAGGGAAGCCAATTGGCCGATGTGTCTTCTCTTGATGAAAATAAAAGTAAGAATGGGAACATGGAATGTCCGAACAATGTTTGAAGCTGGCTGGCAAGGCTGCCCAGATTACCAAAGAGATGAGAAGATATAGAATGGAAGTGCTAGGCCGCGAATCTGCAAGAGCAGGTGGAATGGGAGTGAACTCTCCCTACTATCAACTGGAGGGTCAATAATCTACTCCGGTCACCCAGACGACAACCACGAGCACACTAAGTTTTCGAGTGGCTATCATGGTGTCCCCAAGAGTATCGAAGTCTCTCTCTCATGCAGTGGGAATCAATCTCCTCTTGCAGGATCATGAAAGCAAGATGGATTCAACTCAAAAGAAAGGAAAGTCACAATCATTCAATGCTACACACCAACAAATAATGCAGATCAAGAAAAGAAGGAGGAATTCTACAGACAACTGCAATCAGTACTGGACAAGACCTCGCCCCAGATGGTGACGTCAAAATTCTAATGGGTGGGGTGAGATGAATGCCAAACTCGGAGCAGACAACACAGGAAGAGAACTCATCATGGATCGAGAAGCACTCGGTGAAATGAACGAGAACGGGGAACTGTTTACAGATTTATTTTGATACACGTATGTTATTTGTTGCATCAGTAAATATGAGGAAAAGAAAGGAAAGCTTAAACGATTGTGTTAAAACTCATAATTTTATAATTGTGTTAACAAGCTATCACCCGTAAACGGGGTGATTCTATGTTATATAATCATCAGAAGCCTAGGTTAAGCTCGGACAATGCAAAAAAAGAGAAAACCAGGCAGGTTTCAGATCCAAACGTGGATGGATAGTTGGTATTCATCATGGGCCGACATCAGTTGGAGGAACACTGGAAACCAGGGAGCACTGTACAGTTGTTTCATCCCAGTATGAGACTCCTCAGCAGTGCACACCCTTGACTATGCCCCGCCAGGGATCGAACCCAGGACCTCCAGGTTCAGTGGCTGGCACGTTACCATTAAGCCACTGGGTCGGGTCGTGAGGAGGAATGCTCGACGATGACATTGGGTGACGGTCGCGCTATGTCGTAAACTGACAGAAGTTGGAGATATGAACCATAGGATTCCGACTTAGTGGCTCAACGGTAACGTGCTGGTCATGGAACCCAAAGGTCCTGGTTGCGATCCTTGGCGAGGTCATAGGTGCGTACTGCTGGGACGAAACAGCTGTCTATTGCTACCTAGGTTTCCAATGTTTTTTCCAACTGATATCAGTCCATGATGAATACCAACTTGAAAAATCGCTAAATCCCCATAAACCCCGAAATTCAAATGGATGCATAGACCAAATCTTCACCACACATATATACCAGTGCCTGAAATCGGTGACATTTCTCCCCCTGAAAGTTCTACTCAAATCCGTCCACCAAGTGGTTATATGATAGTGTTTCCCCTTGAAACAGGTGTCTGGAAACTGAACCATACACCATTGAAGGCTTCATATTTGAACACCAGTGGCCTATGGTGAGGTATCAGGGGCATGTTAAACGTTTGCGCTGCCAAATTTTTTCATCCTACATATTTCATCAAGTTTACTCTGTTTTACTTTGTTTTTCATTGTCCAATTATGACGTCTAACTGTGTCAAATGCTCACTCAAACGTTTAGAAAGTTATCAACCTATCGTTGGGAATTTAGAAAATGCAATTAAGAAGAGACATTATGGTGGACGGTAGTGCGCTTTAAAGCGAACAAAACTAAATCAAATGACACTACCCAAAATACTCAGCTCAAACTGCAGATCTCTATTGGGTGAGGTGGACTAATTACACTGCCTCCTACGCTCTAATGTTCATCTTAATGTTGGTGTAATAACACTACAAGAAGCTTGATTGCACAACTTATATGATAATAATTTAGTCTCTTTAGATGATTTCAAAATGTTTCGCAAGGATCCGTGTAATTCTATGGAAAAGTGCAGTGGATGAGTAGCTATCTTTATGAATACTCGGTGGTGCTCATTGAATTGTAAGTGTTTCATCTATTCGAATGATAACATGGACTGTATCACTGTTAGGTGTCATTCCAAACATTTAGATAAATATGAATTCATTTACATCATCAATGCTTATGTGACCTCTGGTTGCAGCCATTCTAAATAACCTAGATTCGCTGACATATTTACAGAAGTCGCTGCTCATTGTCTATAGTCTTCGGTGATATTAACTTTCGTGACTGCAGCTTCTTGTGTTCTCTTGATCACAATAACCTGATCAATTTTTCAACCCCTTTTGATATCACATTAGACCTGGTATACGTTAATGAACGTGGTATATATATATATATATATATATATATATATATATATATATATATATATATATATATAAAACTCAAAAACGTGTACCACTATTCAACTTAAATCAATAAAGTATACGTGTATTTCTAAAAGTATACGGTAAACGGCAGAAAAATGGTTTTACCAATCTTTTCATGCTCAGAATTATTTACTGTAAATATAATAATGCTTCCGAATAAAGTAAATATATTGTCATTATTGGATACGTCCAGTGGTATCCCTCAAGGCTTTCCACGATCTCTATCCTGTTTTAATTTTGTCAAAGATATACTTACAGAGACCTCCCTCTCCTCATCTGACTTAACATGGACTAACCTCATCACAGGAGACTCCTCGGAGTACGTATATGACATTATCTTGTAAGGCGAAACTGCAGAGCCTTCTAGACATTGTCCACGAATATTTAGAATGTTTGTGATGCGTTTCTTATCAGCTGAATGCAAACTGTTATTTTACCGCTCTCCCTCCTCCGTTCATACCTCTTCTGACCAATAGATAGCGAAGTCAATGAACTTGCTGATCACTCTATCTAACTGATGAGTTTAATCTTCCCTAATTCGTCGCTTATCAACGAATCTTCGGCACGGATACAAAAAGATTGGCCGTCTTTTTAACTCACGCAATCCGTGCTGCCGGCGAGGTGTCTGACTACCTACTAAGGATCAAGCCTTACTCTATGACCGTCAAAAACGAGCATCAAAAGCTGACTACATGCTAACGTTCTAGGTGTTCGACCGTCTTTGCATTTGGAGTATTCCTTATTTGCCGTAGAACTAACAAGTTAGTGACGCAAAGGTTAAGCGTAATGTTTTAGATACAACAGGAAAGTTAGTTTATGAATGTTTGGAATTATATTCACTCAGATGGCTGAGACACGTGTTACGTAAGCCTAGCCACCGTCTGCCCTGTTACGCGATGTTAGTCGAAGTAAGTTAAGGTTGGAAAAGGATTAGAAGCGGACAAAATACAAATTGAGAAGAGGCAATAACCTGCAGTTATTGCTCTGGCCAAACGTGAGAAAAATATAACCCTCGGTTGAGGTATGCGTGAAAAACGAAATCGGTGGTTTAAAGTTAGCCAGTGCGTCATGGGTTCGATCCCCATCCCAATCACCTGGCAGCTAGATAGACACGTAGTATCCTTAGTTTGTATACAACAGATTTAGTTCCTTACCTGCCGCACAAACATGCACATGGTTGCTGAAATGAATTCCAATCTTCAAATCAACTCATTTATGTCCTCAAGGAATGCAGGTTTACAGTGTATATTGGTCAATGCTTTATTTTATATTACGTTCTCCTTCTTAATAAATTTACACTACTCAGGCTTTTCTCGACTTAAATGTCACTTTTTCGTTTCCATATGATTTTTGGTTAACTCGTTTGCTCCCCTATACGTCATATCTACTACTATGCATCGATCTGACCACCTTTTGAAAGTCACAGAATCTGAGCATTTACAAGAATAAGACTTACTTCGGTCTAGGCAACCGGATAGCATCAAGGCATTCAGAAAATAATTTTGGTGTATAACCCATGACGTGAACCTGTATCAGGTTGAGTTACAGACATATACACACGCAATAAGACTTATTCAGTGGCATTAGTAAGACTCTATGAGCCAATAAACATATTTTTATTAACACACAATAACGAAAAAACACCTCTTACTTAGTAGTGATCAACTGGATATCTTAAACCTTCCATGTGTAACGATCACAACACAGCAAAATGTCTTACATACAGACATTGAGCATACCAATTTACTAAGTTACCTTTTTCAATCGTATTTTAAGAGAAACAGTTTGACATCCTAATACAGTGAATATCAATAAAAAGACAACACACCATATTTATTAAGATAATCGAATGTTTACAGTCTTATGCACGTTCATGTAAAGCAAGTGTTATTTTAAGTGCATGTCACGATGAGAATAGATAAAAATAAATTTACCTCTTTTGTGATGGTTAATAAAAGATCATCACCAACCACATCCCAATCATCATCCTGTAAAGATGAGACGTTCTTTAAAGAACGGAGAAAAGAAGCAAAGAAAGATATGATTAAAAAACTATTGACTGTAAAAACTTGCACAGCAAATTACAAGAAGGATACTCCCAGTAAACTAACAATTGTGAAATATGCCGATAAATTTCAGATCATCATAACGGCTGTGAATGTAGTTCTGTTGGTGAAAGATACTAGTTTTCTTGTGACTTTCGATTTAACCCTGAATAACCATCTACTATCTGATGAGTAAGTCATAAATAAGTTGCAATTGTCTTCTTTACATCCTAATACACGAACCAAACGGTCAGTTATTGACAAATTCTCTCATCGGGTATTAATGCAGTTGAAAATAGAGCAATGAAGTAACAGGTATCACACCTATGATCAAGTATCTGTTTGAAAAGATGTCAACTCAATATTTTTGCAATATAAAATGCATATAAAACAAAGATATTTAACAATGTGATACTGATTAGCAAGATTCTATACTCAGAAATAAGGAACAGAGTAAGTGATACTGTTTGCTAATCAGCAACTAGTATCTACATAGCATTTGTTATACTACATTAATATGATAAGGAAAATGGTGGAATGTAATTCAGTATCCAAGTGCACCTTATTGCAATAGACAAGCAGCGGCACCTATTGCATGAGGACTAATGATTCTGCCTGGTTGAATAAACCTTGGTAAGTGGAGCGGAGTTTGAAATAACTGCCCACTGGATGAAATTCAAGTGCCTAGACCAATAAGCTAGAGCATTAACACAACAATAACGAAATTATTCAAATATACAATCCAGTACTTTTATCATTTTTAAGCTCACTAACCTTACTAGTTGAAGGCCTCATTAATTCATTAGTACGTTCTTCTGGAGCGGATACGGTGGACGTAAAAGGTTCAACTGATGAAAAATAAATCAAAATAGAAATGGTGTAAAACATTTCCGCATAACTATAAGCCAGAAATTGTACTATTTAGATAAGCCACTGGAAAGTAATTTGGACATAACAAAAGGAGCAAGTGGGGTTTTATTAAGGTAGTGAATTCGTCACCGCATATTCATACTTCCCTATACTCTTGGACACCGTCACATGTTTGCAGGTCAACAAGTCTTTTTTGATATATAAATGACCTTTTATCAGTTGGACACAAGTCAAATTGCCTGTTCATGAGAAGTCTACTCGTATCCTATAAGAAACGTGAGGTAAAGTAATTAACTGTACATAATCACTTTTTATGCTTATTTTTAACCAAGTGAGGTAAAGTAAAGATGACTGGTTGAGTCATTCATCTTCAATTCTACCACTGATGACACTTTAAAGACAACTCTGAAGGTATTGTATGGTGATGTGGATTTTTGACCTGATGGTAGACTTCTTGACTTAACCATGCAAAAAGTATGGTCTGACTGTAAAAAAAAACACTTGGTCAGGGGGCTATAGATGTTGGTAGATGTGATATTTACTTGGCACCATAAGAACGCAACATTTAGGCAAAACCGGCAGACTATTTTGTATTCACACTCAGTGGTAGCCAATCAGAAATAGTAGCGGTTTTGTTCCTGAAATCATGAAGGATGAAATACATCTTCATTGAGATGATTCCAGATTGGTGCATACCGGTTTGCATCCAGTTCACTGTCGCCGCAACCTTATTTTAACTTTTGAAGGCTATGTGGACAACATTTCGACGCATGTGACTTCGATCTATTTTTGTGAAATCTGATCCCTTATAACGAAGGATTTTCGTAGTTGTGTTTAACCGCTGCCATCTCCGTATACCTGCTTACATCCAGAGGTAATACCAAGTAATTTTGAAGTGAAGTTGCATGCGTTAGAGCGTGACGATGACTATCATGCAACAAGTAAAGTTACATATAAATATTGGCTTCAGTGACTTTGATATGTTTTATGAATATCATCCTGAAGGTCTATCTGTGGTCCATAATCCGTTAGCTCTGTGACTGGGAAGAATAAATGAAAACAGCCAGTTCAAGATGTAACAGCAACTGATAAAAAATAGTTGTATTGCATTCATATATGTTGATGATCATTTCGTTTACTTACCTCACATACAGACCTTTTGCAACACTGCCAATAAAAATGCGCTGCATAAAGTTAAATAACAAGACTATAAAGTCAAAACATCACACCTTGTTTGATTATCATATGTTAATGATAGAGACTTCTGATCCTCAGTTAGTCCATTACCCATCGCTCTGTCACAACGACCGGGTAATTCGGCAATTTAAGACGCCGTTAGATATGCCTGACAACCATAATAGTTGGAAATCACGTTGTAATTACCTTTTATCTTCAACTTTGGAGATCTAATACAGCAACAATGAAAGCTTTCCTAATCACACTAATATTCGTTATCCCCACCTTTTTTTGTATGATATCATTATATTAATCTTTGAGGAGTATTCTGCATTCCTCAGAAAACATCAAAAGACACTCAATTCAACTATCTATCACTGCCAGAAAAACTAGAAACTCAGGGATGGTTTATTAATAAGTTTATTTCAACACCTATGAAGACAGAAAAATAATTGTGCAACCTACCACAAACACGCATAAGTCCAGGCTCCCACACTTTACAAAACCACAGAAAGAGGAAGTAAGCATAATCGGGATGGCAATAAATTTCAAAAAGGACAGAGAAAGGGCAGAACGATTTACTGAAGGTCTTTTAAATGTTTAGAATTCTGAAGATGATATAGCTGCAAATATGTCTTTTGTACATCATACTACCTTTGGTAGTCTCAATAAACTAACCCAACTAACAAGGGAGGGACCAAGCATTTGTCAGTTTTTATACAATATAAACAACCAAAGCTGTCATTTGCAGTGAAAAGTGTGTATATAAAGTATATGACAACCAAAACATAGGCCGGTTTTGATATTGAGTAGTGATCTCAAAATGATATTGAAAACTAGGTGCGGTTAGAGGAATGAAAAAAAAATGAGGGAGATGTTACTTTCTAATTAGTAAAAACCATATGAAGGGATGACTTTGATTTCTAAACTATCACAACAAAGAAACTGGAGATTGCAAATACACAGGAGTGGTAATAATAAACATATTTCCTACTCTTGCTCGTTTAACGAAAGAATATATCGTTGGCATTACAAGAGATGTTTGATATTACCTCAAACATAGATGATTTTTAACTTGAATACACGTATCGTACATTATTCTTCATTGAATTCATCGTCTACAAACAAAACACGACAAACGGCCCTTGAAAGTGATCATTTAACCCCATTTATCGGTCTCTGAAAACCATATTTTATATATATATGGTTTACATATAATTCCACTAAAATTTAAATCAACTGAAACCCAATACCATGCAAAGCAAAACAGCGTACAACTTGTTTCTTCAAATATTGAGTGATAATGCTGCCCTAAAGTGTAGTCACTTTTATTTCTGTGTGGGAAATCTATTTTAGAAGTATTCTAGACTGCTACCTTTATTAAAAATCAAATGATATAAACGAAGTAAATATGCACACGCTTATCAGTTTTACTATTAAGAATGTACACTAAAGAATGGGGAAATACGCCCTGTAACTTGATCAAAAACAGCTAATTGAGATACTTTATACCGCCAATAAAGTCATTGAATGTGAGGATCAAATCTTTTATGCTTCGACAATCAGCAATACTTTGTTCAAAACGAGTAACGAAACATATTCAAAAGGATGCCTCATTATAATTCTAGAGGTAGTTCGCATTTCACATTAACGTACGATTTTGTGCGGTGTATCCAAAATCACAGAGAACTTACCGGTCTACAGATTTCCTACAGCTGTAACGAATCCTTTTAGTTAACTTAGTAAAGGAGTTGTCGTCCGTAAAACTGATCATTTGTCCCAACATCACTCAGTAAAATTTGTGAACTCAATATAAAAGAGAAACGCTTACATATTTTTGGACAATAAAACAATAACTGGCACCAAAACAGATAATTTGCTCTTACCTTCAGAAGCTAATCCAACATTCATATCCGAACTGACAAGATGACAGGTTTCTAAGGGTTCAATCCACGAGGCACAAGCAAGCCGTAACAGATTATTTGAACCTGTAGGATATATTTGCTCCTGATCAGTCAACTGAGAATTTTTCAAGTCCCGAGGCCAACCCATGAGTCAGAGGTGGATTCACTTCGTGGGGGAAATGTTTTACAAACTGGTCTTCGGCGAGAATTTTCCAGGTACTGTTATTTGAATAGAAGGTTTCAGTCGTAATTCAGCATTTTTTTTAAAATTAGGAGAAAATTACATAATTCCAGAAACGTAAAGTTAACAACTTATTACTCTAAACTTTACCACATAATAGCGGCTACCATTTTAAACCAACACATTCACGCATTTAGTAGTACTAAAGGTATACATTATGAACTCTCATGGTCTCGTAGATTAAAGTGAATTCTGATACAACCACGTAATATCTCGATTCAGTAAAGAAAGTGCTTACAGTTAATAACTCCCATTCGGAAGTAAAAGGAAGCGGATCGTGGACGAGAAACTAGTATTTCAAGAACTGGTGATAGTCTAACTATAGAACAACACAAAAAACAAAGTGTGGTTTTACTATGAACATATTTACTTTTGATGAGCGAATCTAAAAGATGGTCTACATACAGTTCTCCCAGATTTGCCTTGCTTTTTACCCATTTGACCAATGGAAGTATGTTGGAATATCTAAGGCACTACGTGCACACAAAATGAAAAGTATAGTACGACTACCATATGTTAGATGCTCAGGAAAAATAAGACCTATTTTTTCCCCTTAGCATCATGATTGAAAGTTGATCACATTATTTGATTGATGGCAGAAAAACATACCCTGTTATGAATTTTTCTTCACAAGAATCCAAGGATCTTAAGTATTCCAAGATACAGTAAGTAATCTAATCAAAAGCCTGCACAATTCCCATAACATAGTCGGGACAATATTGACTTTGGGAACATCGTGCTCCAGCTAAATGAAGCACTTATGGCCAGAAAAACTGCTACTACACTGCTCAAACATTAACGAAGGCTTTACTGATCTGAGTAGAAGGAATTACACAATTCTGAAATCCAATTACATGCGTAGAACATGGACTGTCAGATGTATTCCGGAGATATGCTGTAGCATACTTTTGAAAATAAAAAAATGACCAGTCTGATTTCTCAATACCATCTTCAATGAAGAAAAACAAAGTTCTTACTTTAAGCGCGTTCTTACTACTATAGGAACAGAATAATCTGTAACATATTAATACTCTTAATAAGACAGGTGTTTTTGAATACTTTTAGAATGCCTCATACCCAACAAACAGTAAAATTTGTTACCCCAATAGGATAAAACGAATCTGGATCACTTAAAACTCAGACGTCTGCAGACCCCAGCTAACAATGACATTTGGACAAAATTTTACAATTTTAAATACATGCAAACCAACTAAGGTAGTCAACAGCAAACAAACAGGCAGGTATACCCACCATCTGTGACGCATTAATGCTTCAATTGTTGCACGCGACCAGTTAAGAATAACCATTATAAATCAAATCTTACTCACATAAAATTGCGCAGCTTTCCTCTACTTCCATAACACTGAAGACACCTCAAAGCAAGTGTTTGAAGAGGTAGGGGTTTATTGTGTTTTGTCATTGGGGAATTGTACCGCACACCGCAAAGTGAGCGGCTATGAACTTCATCCCAGTTTTCACTTTTAGGTTTGAGGATAGTAGGACAAATAGCTTATATTAACCCTGAAGGTATAAACCCACAAACGGATCCAGCTTCTTCTTGAAAGCGTCCACTGAAGCAGTAGCTACTACAAGTTCTGGTAATAAGTTCCAATCGTAGACCACCCTGTGGGGGAATCTGATTTCAAACAGTAGTCTTTTCCATCATGGCTTCTGAACTTTTCATAATGACCTATTGAATAATCAGTCCGAGAGGGGGTGAAAAGATCAGACAGACAGACGTCCTAGTCACTCGGGGCTCGATATGCTAATATAAGATCACCCCTTTTCCTGGAAGATGATAGTGAAAAAGCATTCAGAATTTCTAGCCGCTTTTCATAGAGTTGCGGAAGTCCAGCCTTCAAGTTTGCATCTACTTTTTGTACTCGTTCCTCAATGTCCCCTTCTTGTCTACAGCAAGGACCAGTTGCTGATAGTCATTTTTCCAGGTGAGATCTTATTTAAGTAGGATAAAGCGCCCTGAATATTTCTTCGTCAAAGCGCTCAAAAACCCTAAGGGAGGCGACGGCGAGCGAAACACCTTGGCTGCCGCCGCTCTAAAGTGTGATTTTGTTTTCAAGATATGTCTGATAATAACCTCTTGATATCTTGGTTTCCTAACGCAGGCAATTATGACCCGTCTAACAAGTGCGGTTAGAAAGACTCTTAATCGATGTGCATTACTGCATCATATTCGACACGCTGTGCGGGTTGGTATGAACCAATTGACGTCTTCTCACCAGCTTCTACGCCATGCAGAGCGGTTTCTGATCGTTCTGTAGTTCCGATGCAATAGGGCGAACCACTTACCTGGTGTAGTTTTAGCACACCCGGCGGAGCAGTGTGTTAGGTTGTGTTTTGCGGGGAGGCGTCTGATTTGTTCCGAGACTGGTCTAAATGGGGTCTCCAGATGATTTATTGCTAGACAGCCGTCCGCATTGGCCATAAAAGGGTTACGAAGAAAGTGAAACGATGCATACAAAGAACGGTGTGGAGATGAGAAAAACGGGAGTAAGAATGCAAAATTTACAAATTTAGATGGGCTCGAGGGGGATGAGAAAGAAGGCAGTGATATGCAGGACGCTAACGAACTGGACGGAATAGCAGAGAGTTCCGGGGAAGGGAGGAGCGCAAGGAACTACCTCTGTGATGATGAAAGGAGAGACTGATGACGATATTACTGGTGTGTTATCTGGAGTGGTAAGGCTTCCTACTGAGAGGCACATGAGTGAACCGAGTTCATGACTATGGTGTAAATGGAAGTCAATCAGTACGAAAGATAGTTGTGTCCGATCTAGTCAACATCCTGGCCGGATTAGCCCAAGACATATGCTTCTGAGTTGCCGTTCAAAGTCTTCTTAAACCTGTCGACAGGAAAAGCGCTGTCAACCTCGGCAGGCAATGCGCCTCAATGACCGCAAACTCGAAAAAATTAAAGGTATGGATGGACATATGCCTTCGTTGTTTTATAGGTGATTCTCCGTGTTTTCACGAGAATTTCCATGGTGACCGTCCCCTAAAATTTTACCTTTCAGCCGACTTGGATTACTCGGTAACTTGTGTGCCGTCATCAAGCCATCAAGTAAACTGTGTTGGTTGTGGCAGTGAAGGCCTGAATCCCTTGGCTTATCCTTAGGAGAATTACTCCGCATCCCCAGAGCAGCCTTCGTGGCTCGCCTCCGAGCTTCCAGGGGTTTGTACCTCCTTTCGGAAATGGTGGTGCAATGGCGTTGTGAACCACTAATTGAGGTCGTCCATGAGCAGTAGTATTGGGTAGGCTGTGGAGGTGTTTGCTGGATAATTGAAACCAGTTTCCAGTTTTCTGATCAGCATTAGACCTTAGCCTTTCTCCGCGGTTGCGTAAGAAAGGTACGACAGAGAGTTTAAGATACTTTCTACAGAACGATGATGCAGTGGAACATTTTTCGTCATTTAACTGGGCTACATGCCACTTCGTTGTCTCCAGTCCTCTTTTCAAAAACTCTGAGGTAGCCCTGTGGTGCCCTCTATTCTCATTCGAACATAACACCTCTCGAAAACTTGGCATATTCAGCGTGAGGGAGAATCGGTGAGCTGTGACTCAGTGGAGGGTTACTCACATAAAGTAGGAACAGCAAAGGACCTGGGACCGTTCACTGCGATAAGCCGGACGCCAATCCTCTCTAAGTTGGTGAAACTTTGTCCTACGTGCAGAACTCTCTACTAGCTAGATGGTCTTCCTGCCGGGATGTCACCTGACCGCTTATGCCCAACATTGCCACGTCCTGCACAAGAATGGCAGCTATAACTACATTGAAGGCCTTGACAAGATTTAGGAAAGTCATCTGAACAAGGACCTTAAGGTCCCGACAAGCTTTCAAGTTGCGACAAGCTGCCAGAGGGTTCGAGGCACCGGGCCTACCCTTTCTGAAGCTATGTTGAGCACGGCTTCGTGCTCTTGATTGGTCCACGTATTCCTTGATATGGACGTCCACCAGGCTTTCCATAACTTTTCATAGCACAGAAAGAAGAGCCATGAGTAAGGGAAATTCGGGTTCCACCAGCTCTCTCAATTGAATATAAGCAAAAGAATAGTACCCCTCCATATCTGTTGGAGCTTGTGTTTTGTTAAGGGGTGCTGCAGCAAGGCATGGTGGGTGCTTACACACCGTCTCAAACCAGAAGTGCAAGAGCAGTCTCATTCTGAGAAGTTTGCTGAAAGGTTGAGTAGCAGCTTTCCAGTTTTCCAATGTTATCTGATTACAGCTCAATCTATTTAATTAATAACCAATAAATCCGTTTGCGGCTAGTGACGATTCAGATACCAAAAATGGCAAAGTACCGAGCTGAACTTATTTGTCGGAACGTCAAACTATGCACCGGTTTGCGTAAATACACTGAAAAATATGCCACGTTCCTCACTCAAATTGTCTAGGTCCAAAAGCAGTTGGGCACTTTAAGCCGCCCTGTAGTCCTATGCTGCATATTCAGCGCACCTTAATTCAAGTAAAATTCCTATGTGCCAGCCATCCATGCGTAGTTTATGTTATGATTTTGAAAGAACCCTGTGGGCCAGAGTTACCAAAATGGTTTCCAAAGTTAATGGGAGTGCTTGGTAATGCTTTGGATACATTTGCAAAAGGATCATTGGACTAGCGATTTCAGACTCCTGGCAACTAGTACCCCAATTCGTAAAACCTCCATTTAGTTCTTTTAACCCTAATCAGGCACACAGATTTCTTCATCCTTCTTCACCTTCCTATCCTTGAACAGCGTGGAGATGTTTTATGAACAATGTCGTTCACTAAACGTGCTACTATGGGGCCATGAGTTTACCTTCAGCTTATGTACAGAAGTATCAAAGAGTAAAATTAGTAAGGTAACACCCCGCAATGTGGCCGCCCAGTTTCAATCTAATTTACTTTGGGCACTATAGTGAACATGATTGCATCACTTCCAAAAACCCTTCTAACGGCTGAAACGAAATTCTGGGAAAAGGAATTTCTGCATAGCAAGTACTTAAGCTGGATCGTCATCATCTGTGCAGAGTAAAAAACATCTGAGAACAGTCCATTACATCTACTGCGTCTTAAGTTATCTTGATGATTTAAATAGATGACTTCGTTTGGCGAATATTTAAAGCTAAGGAGCAATATTCTCCTGTTCTTTTGGTTCTCCTTTCAGCTAAACACCTTCTGAGCCCTCCCTAGTAGTTATTTATTTCCAAAACTGCCATTAACTCAACGTATGTCGACATTCATCATTTTGAGTCTCAGTTAATATACTCCGGTTAAACTTCCTCTCGACAAATTATTCTGATTTCGGCTCACTCCTCTTGGCACTTCCGAAGACAGAAGCTGGGAAACATCAAAGGTTTGCCCTGGTGACTTGGTTGACTCAGTATTTCATCTGGCATTGACCAATGACATCTGTGAGTAACAGATTCTAGAACTGAATATGGCTTAAGCACTTTGTGCCCCAAAAATTTGGACACTTGTTCTCAGTTCTGGGAACGAAACTTGGAGACTTTCTCGCACACGTTCCCAATCAAACTAATGAAGGTCCCGATGGACACTTTCTCTAAGTAATTTGAAAGCTTTCACCTGAAACAGACGTTTTATCTAAAACACATAGCCATCACAACGCCTACCATTTAAGAAGCGTGTAACGCTGAGCACATTAGAGGACCTCGGGGGGATATCAAGGGTTCAGAAATAAGAAAAAAGTTCAATGTAGATCTTATCCTTGGAACTGATCCTAGAAATGGATGTCTTGGGCGAAGGATTTGCAAAGATATTCCACCACACAACGAAATCTTCAGAGAAAAACTGGACCGGTCTAAAAATGTACTCCCATAAAAATTTGGCAACCGACCATGTACTTGGGCTAACGTGACGTGGTACGTTTTCAAAATCCAAAGGGTTAAAATCATATCTTCCCTACCCTGAAGGTGTAAATAACTCACGAATGCCAGAGTAGAATATGCATTCATTCCACAAAATAAGGTCTACTGACTCAAAACGTATGGTGGGTTTGAAATACGCGTATTGCAAATGTCGGCTTGTGGAGTTCCTGCGAAATAAAGATGTGTGGCTCACTTCGCAAGCGTTGGTAGGGAGCGATTCCAATATCTACCATGGTGAACCCAACTATCCCAAATCGTCTAATGTTTTGCACAAAAGCAGCACACACCCATTAGCCGGTACTCATGTATCACCATTCTGTCCACGGCAACAAAGCTGAGGGTTCATGTTAGTGTTTAAAAGAATGGAGCAAACGTTATCTGCCTCAATTTTTCAGAAAGCCTAGATTGCATTTAGCAGCACTAACTCACCCAGTAAATGAAGTCCGTAGTAATCAGACTACCACTAGTCGATTGGCTAACACAACCCTGTATTGTCACCCACTTGAGGTTTGGTAGCATAAGTGCATGGCAAGGAATAAAATGATTACTTGATGAAGTCGCCATGCGGTCGACATGGATGCTTGTTTGTTAAAATTTACACCTATGGTTTGCCATTGCAGGTATCTCTGGGAACTCTTGTCTCTGATAATACCAAACTGTAGACAAAAATTCTCGGCCACGACAGTTTGCATTTCGAGCTGAGTGAGCGCTAACTAAATGCTAAGGAGGTTGCAGTAAATCGGCCGTCAATCCTGAAAAATCAAGGCGCA